TTGGCTTTTCCTTGAGTTCGTTAGTGTTGTCCTTCGACAGGTTTTAATGGGTTGCCATTTACTCAAAATTCGGATCATCCGATTCAGTCCTTCCTGCGGGCCTTCTCGCCTCCAAATGGTCTTTCAGAATAGTTCCAAATAGCCCGTGTGATATGCTGAATTCTATATGCTAATATTTTTAATTAATTAAGAGCCTCATGGATGATCAGCCGACGACAAAGCACGACCCCATTACCCCACTTCGATTACGGTCTAGATTGAGGAAAATAAAATCATTACTGTTCCACTTTATGTGTGGTCGTTCGGTGTGAAATGTGACGTGTGTCAGCCTCATACTTCGTTTTTCTATTTATTTAACTTGAAAGTGAGTCTTGCGGAAGGTTTCATGTGAAGGGGAGTAACGATAAGTTGACGGCTGTGGCGCGAGCCGATTCGTCCCAAGGTGCATCGGTATTAGTATTTAGGTCTAGTATATGCGAAGGTGCTTTACCTGTTCATTTCGGTAAAATTAATAAGGTAAAAAAATTGGACAAATGGGTTTGGGGGGGGGGGGGGAAGCAGAAATGCAGAAACGCTTGCTTCTCTGTGATCTAATGTTACAGCAGTGACCCACTTCTGCATAGAGTTGTTACTTGTGACAAAAAATAATTTTCACGAGCCTTACGACACATATAGGTGTTCCGAATGCACATAAAAATGTGATATATATATATATGTTATGCCGCTCGTTGGCTTCTGGTACCATCTTTAGGACGTGCGGCGAACTGCCCAAATTAAAATCCTATAAACTCAACTGGGTTCGTACAATCCATATGGAGCCTTTTAATGATTCTGTATTTATTCTGATCATGCGGTAAGTGCTTGGTCACAAACAAAAGTGAATACATGAAGTATGTTTGATTAATGAAAAATGTCCCTCGTCGATAATCACAGACTATTACTGCAATGGGCAAAACAACTGGACCGGCGGACGCTGCCTTAAAGCAAACGTAAATCTGTAAGAGCATATGATGTCTGTCTTCGGTGACAAGCGCTGTCCGCTACGACTTATTAATTCATTTGTCGACTACGGCTGAAGTGCGCTGTTATTTCGCATTGGGCAGCCATAAATTAGTAACGAGGGGTTAATTACTCTTATTTCTTGATAACGCCTGAGTTCACACTACAAAGATCATAGTCGCAAAAGTGCATGAGTTACAGTTGGAGGCTCTCTTTGTCATCCACCGCATTAACCAAATATTGCGCCCACAAGTTACCACTTTCCTTAAATCTCGCCAGCTTCTTAACAGGAAAATGGTTTAGATCTCAATATAAGATGGAATTTGTTTTTAAAAACATTATAGGTTCGTGCTTCAAAGAAGGCACAAAAATCTATAAAGCAAGCTCTTACAGTAGCAGAATAAATAAGTTACCATTTAAGTCAGCAGAAAGGCACAGATTGGAATGATGCAAGTTCCGACAAAAATAAAAGAACTAACTTGTAAAAAGAATTAAAAAAGTTTTAGTCCACTATGTCGTATTTCTTACTGGAAGATCTAGTATATTCAAAAAGTTATTTGAGTCTTTGACTCGTTGAGTAGCTCCACGTAACCTTATACATATTTTACGTTATGTTTTCTTTAATGCTTGTTAAAATTGCTTGCTGTAAGCCAATATTTAACTATAGAATATTAACTTTGAAACATACGTAACTAAATATTTCGCGTTGCTCAAATCAAACTAGGTCTTCTTTTTAATCACATCCCGAACTGTGCTTCATTGTTTTTCTTCTTAGGGCTACCCGAAGTGTTTCACTTCCCATTAGAGCTCTACATTAGGTCTCTATATCCTTAAATCTTAAGTTTTTCGCCTTCTCGTTTCCGGCTAAAGTTAAAATCTTCTTACTAATTACCATATGTATCTTCATGTTGATTTAGCTGTCTGTGTAGCTAATGCTCAGTTTTTTCTAACGTAATCACATCATCTGCAATTGATCCCGGGCACCGTTTACTCACGTAGGCACATCCTCAATATACAGTGAGAACAGCTGGCCCTGCTGTTTACCATCTGTGCGTTCGAATCTGCTATAGTATTTTTTAGAACCAAGTTCAACCAAGAAATTATACTGAAACGCTTTTACCTAATTCTAATTTTGCTTTACGTGTATAACAGAAACACGCAAAGGGACTTCGTTTCCAATTACGTAAACGCGATTATTTAGTCTATAAGGTTCAGCGGCGCTATTTAGCATGTTCAAAAGGTCATAAAGTAACCGCACCATATTCTATTATATGTTAGATGTGCTTTGTTTATTATTTATGCATCGAAGTCAGCGCTCTGGCAATTGCTGAATGGCTGTTTACTTGTGATTTACATCGTCATATTTAATCTATATTGCTATCTTTTGTAAAACAATAGATAATAGGCTATACTGCGTCACTTGTCGCCCTTTTTAAAGCGGGACTCAAACAGACTTAGATCTCGTAGTTTTTGGAGTTACAATTATTATTGCTTGGTTTTATTTTTCTAGGTCCCGATTATTATTGAAGCCTGGCGATGAGGTCGTTCATTGTTGCTGAGAGGCCACAATATTTTATGTCGATTGCCGCGCCTCACATGCATAAGACTTTTCAGGAATTCGAGATATCTAACAATATTCACCGTATTTTTAGGGCAATATCTCGTACTTCCAAATGCCCCTGGTAAGCACCGCAAGTATCAGTCTACTCCTGAATATAATTCGGCACTGGCATCGCAGCCACTTTCGTTTTTGTTTGACGCTATTCTGTTTGTCAACCCTTCTCTCCATGGCCGGCACAGAGCAGCTCATGTCCCGTCTATGGTGTGCCGATGTGCTCTAAACCGAATTTTACGGGTACGATTTGCAATTTCTCTCCAGAGTACACCGTTCCCGTTTCCATCTGTCCTAGATTCACTTTATGTTCAGTTTTGTCGAAAACTTTAAAAAGCACATCGTTTTTTCTTTTAGGTCCTAAAGCGAAATCATTTCCTTTGTGGTCTTGAACGCCCCGATTTCTGCGCCTACGGTTACTGCATCAGCAACAAATTGGTTGCGGTTTTATTGAAGGCCCGCCGCCAAGTATATCCACCAATCTTCTATGGATTCTACAAACCTTTCATCTTTTAGAAACACGCCTAACAACTCAGCGTTGATTTTCAACACCAAGCAATATATTTATGTCCAAATTCATTATAAATGGTACTGGATCAGTTTATGTATATATAATAACTCAGTAATTTTGATATGTTGATAGGCCATAATTACATAGTTATATCTTTATATAGCCCTGAACAAATATATCTCTTCCGAAATACCCAGTGCTCTTTTATCATATATTTTCCTTATAAAATGAGCACACAAGTTCTTCGTGTTATAAGGTATATTATAATTAGCCTTGTTTTTCAGTTTATCGCTATTTACGTTTTCTTTTAATTGTAGAGATTCTGCCGCTTCGTTTAGTCTCCCGTTACCTTTCGTTCCAGAAATAATGGTTAAAAACAATGTTAGATGCCTATACTTTCTAAATTACCTTTTTATACCTGTTGCCTAACATGCAGGTTTGTTTTGGATATTTACTACATCATGTTTTGTTTCTTATTATTATATTTCCTCAATATATGTTGTAATTCTTAAGCTCTAGCTCGCTTCTGATAAAGAATTGTATTTCTATAGCTTCATTTACCTCGCTGGTAGAAAATGTCTTTCCTTTCTATAGTATTGTTTTTCTACACTTTTTTAATATAGCATCAGAGCGTCTTCTTTTAATGCCTTTGGATTTTCTCGCTGCTCCTGTATTCTTTACGGCATTTTTTTTTTCCACTTTGTCCCTTTCCCGCTACCTCACCATTCCCCTTACCTATGCCCTACACCTCCCATATTTTTTCGCGGGATCCGTATGTCTTTGCTATATTTTCCTAGCAAATCTTATTCATTTAATTTTTGTTCAGATTTATCTTCCTGTTTCGATGTGCTACGTTTGTCGAACTTTTTGTTTCGGTGCATTCTTGGCTCTATTCTTCACTTCCACTAAAGCATAATCGTCTTTTGTAGTTCACCTATTTGTTATCTTTTGTTAATATATAATGTATTTTCAAGTCTTGTTTGTCCTGTTATATTTACTATGTCTAGCCTCGTTTTCTGGACGAGCTCCGCCAAGGGTGCTACTCTAATCTTTTGTCCATCATCCAATTTGCTGGCATGTGCATTAATACCTTTCAGGATAATGTCGTTATTTTTTATTTGCCCTCTGTTTCTTAGCACTTCACATTTCCTTACTTCTGATATGTATGCCCCGGCTGTTGTCATAATGATACCTTTTCCCTCTCCTATTAGCTTATTTGTAGTAATCCCAAGGTCATTGTATATGTCATGTCTTTGACTAATTTACCTACCTCTAAATTTATTTATTGCCTGTTCTTCGTTTTCGTAATGTCAGTTATGTTTCTATATAGTTGGTGAAACTTCGTCGTTTATCAAATGCCCTTTCATAATCTGCCGTTAGATGTGCACTATCACGTATACTTATACTAATGTATTACAGGGAGAAAAATCAAGGCGTGTTCATCAGTAAGTTCAGTAAGCTTATTTTTCGTTACTGCGACTATCTTCGAGATGCCGATGCCTTCTCTCTTCACACAACGAGGACCATTTTATTAGACCAATTCTAGTCTTATGTAAATTGCTTTCATCTAAATGTGATTATGATTCTCTCCACTAACTTGACGTATTATAGGCCAGTGTTTAATTACCGGATCTGTTAACTGTGGTTGCATTCAATAGTTTTGCCCATGGTTGAACAACAATTGTTAATACCAATCAATAACAGTACTTACATAAACTACTGTCTGTTTTATAAAAAAACAATTTATTTTTTGGAGTTTATTCGTCTGACAAATAATTATGCTATCATGCACCAGTTTTAGAAAGAAGAGTTTATGTGTTAAACGCGCGCGTACTTGTTAATACATTTAGCCCAATTTGCATGATGACATTGTTGCAGACGTGTGGGACTGTTTCCGGCGTATCAAGGCCCGCGAAGGCCTACTTGCCTTCTGGAAAGGCAGCACAGGAGCTTTCTTCTATGTGATGATCACATCATCGATAACACTTGTGTCATGGGACGAAATGAGGCACGTACGCAACGCACGCCTTAATTCAAGGGACTACATTATTGATTTTGGGTACCAATAGAAGAAAATTAGGCTGCAGTTAAATAGTTATAATCCAATTTCATTCTATCAAAAATGGTTAACCGGAAGACGTGGCTTTTAAATTCCTATGCATGTGGTACAAATATTGTACATATATATAACACAGCAACTTGAAGTACATTTGAAAGGAAGTTGTATTATGATCATCAACTTATCTACGATATTTTTAAACAATGAAAGTCACATTCACTCAGTTTATGGCAAAGTGAGACGTGAAGCACGAACGAACGAAAAACATGCCACATGTAAGTACCATGTATTGGACACAAATATACCGTCGACGATTGTTACACATTCTTGTCTATCGTTTTGATGTTTTCCTAAATGATTAAATGTCTGATATTCTATTTGGCTATTATATCCTACTTATCAGGAAACTTCTAATCTCTGAGGTGATGCAGACAGAAATTATCATTTGTTTCATTTTAAATTCAAAAAAATTTAAGTTACTTATTTTTATTAGTAATAGTCAGAAACTTTATATATAGAGATCAACAGCACAATATGCCAATATCAAATAGAGTATATAGAAACATTTAAAAAATCGCGTCATATGGCTTATACGAGTCTTGTGGAGTCTATTACACTAATTTAAGAAATTTTTAGAGGTATCGCAAAGATGGTAGAAGGTGAAAACGAGCTACTGATATCTTGTCCAGCAACTGGAGCATCTAATTATGTCGTCAGGCTTGTGGAAATCTGGTTCTGTGAAGGGTCTACCATAGAAGCCACGAAGCTAAACGAGTGACGACATGTCCATTTAATCGATTCATCTCGCTTCACACGCTGTTCTCCATTGTATCCGAAACAAAAGAAATGTTTGTTCCGGATCTTTATGTGTACTTCCAGTGCTATATTTTATCCTACAGTGGAGAGCCTTGCATAGTTCAGTCGTGCAGGTCTCACCGTTATAGAATCTCCCAAATGACGCGTATCCCATACATTGCGAGCAGAACTAGCTTGCGGTCGAACAAATTGGAGCGGTTGTGAGGGACAAGCGATTTGATCGTTTATGTGGCCAACATCGCCTTCCTGCATCTTTCGGTTAGGTGCGCAATGAGACTACCGTTCGCGGAGAAGAACAACCCCGAATACAGGAATTAATTCACAAAGGAAAAAGGGAATTTGGCGGGGTGCAAGGCGCTGTCGCGTCTCCTCTTCTAAACATCGCCCCCTTCCTTGTTAGGTTTACGGTCAGCCGCAATTCTGTAACAGCCGCATAAAACCAAGCCAAAGCTTGCTTAATTAAAGCCGTCTCAGGCCAAAAAATTACTTTATACACACTTGGAATCACACATGTTATGTGTGATTAAAGAGAATACTGGATAATATGAGTAACTCTTAAAATGACTGCAGTATATATTTATAAAGTAACGGGTAAATGAATTTTGTTAGAGCTCAGGCGTGTTATCATTAAGAAGAGTTCAAGTTTGGTCTACGTAAGCGCGCTAAGCCTTAGAGACTTTTATAAGCCTACTAATCTTAGACACATATAGGGTAATCTAGACTCGAAACTGCGCGTATCTATGATAGCACAGTGGTACCGTATTTGACTATCAGGGATATGCAGCGGCCTAAGCCGGACACAGAAACTGTACATTTTCTGGAAAAACGAGCCGCGTGAAGCAATGCTTAACGGCAGGACGAGACATAAAGTTCCAAACACTAACTTTTAAGATTCGAATATAATAGCTCGGTTTATACAGTTTGCTTAGGTAAGATTTTGTAGCAATACCAGATAATAAAGCTGCAGTACAAAGAACAGCAAAAAGAAACTCATGGAAAGTCTTGGAAACTTTTATACCTTTCAATAGTATTTCTTAGGTGCACCTGATGTTTTCATAAAAAAATCTCTTTTACCCTCTTATTATACAACTTCCGTCTTTCCTGATTTACTTGAGTGTAACGAACGGATCGATCCGTGATACACTATAAGTTCGGCATTGCTTCCTTGTTCGTCAAGTGTCTAGGTTTTTAAAATGAAAAAGCAAAGAGAAAACATTATTACACGGTAGTACCTTTTTTCTTTGAATATAGGTCGAGAAAATCTCGTACATACCTCCTCTGTTACTTCGTGGATATCTTCACTTCATCATATATTTCGGGCGGTGCAAAATCCTAATGACAAGTGAAGAGAGCACAGCTCGCGCCGCACAGTCCGCTGTATGTGGTACTAGGTCATCTCAAAGTAGCTTTTGACTCGGCGCCCAAAGATCATATTATGCTCTTTTTCGCCTAGGTAGGTTTTGTAAGGAACGTGCTTAATCCCTTTATAGTTATACACAAAAATAGTACAATCAGCAGCGACAAACCCGTCGAACTTTAGCCCATATCACAGTCTGGAGTTGAAAGCCTGACCCGGGGACACGGCTTGAGGCCATTATCCGGCTGAAAACCTTATCCTGCACCTCCCAGATTATAAAAAAGGGGTTCAAATAATTTATGGAAACGGGTCTACGACGTGCGGGCCGGGGCTAGTAATAAGTAAGGCCTACTGTATTTGAAACTTTCTAGGAGCGGATTCCGAATGCAGTCTCAAAATAGAGACCGACAATAAACTGACCAAAACGGAGTTGATGAGATTTAGAAGGAGAGGCAGGATCACGGTCACTGACACTTCGTACCTAGCTTGCTTACCCTTCGGTTATCACGGATACTTATATTTGAGGTTGCTTGTCTTCTTTAATGGCTAACTTTCGATGGTGCACGTCTTTGAAGGATGCAGGAAAGCAGCGGCGGTTTTATGGGCTATCTAATCGCTCTACCATACACTGTCTCTTGTAATTTCGATTGCAGCGTATGAGACACACATCATTTGGAAGAACTTTCTTGCTCAAAATAACGTTAGGATTGCGCACGATGCGAAGTCCAATTGAACACGGATGTCATCATGTGATTCATGACTCGCTTTATCGTTATGGATTCTGCTGACACTGAATGCAGTTGTAATAAATATCATGCAATCCCCTGACCTTAAGACGTTTGGCAAAGTGTTTCAATTCAAGCTGATAAAGTCAGTCCGTTTGGAAAATTCATATGATTTTTATGTTTGTATGACCTTACGCTAGTCTATTGTTAACCTGTATATTTGACGTATTTACTGCTACCAGTTAATGAAATAAATTAATAAACATCTCGCACAATCATTACTGCTCTGAATTGTGTTTTCTCTCCACCGGATGAAAGTCGAACAATTTTATCACAAAATCGATATGCGGCGTCCATGGCCATGTCCTTTGTTTTGTTCACAGAACCGAATTATCTGGCAGCCGAAGGTTTCGGTTTTACAGCGCTCAACATATGGACAGTTTACTTCACTTTTATACCTTTATCAGGCAATAGGTTCTTAGTGCGGTTTTCTTAGCGACGTTTATGGTCTTGTACACCTCAGGCGGCTTAACCGTGCTTATGTCGCTTGTACTAAACCACATTACTACAACCTTACTACATAACTGAGGTCAAAACAGCTGTCGGAGAAATCTTTTAGTGCTTAATCCTTAGGTAAAGGAACGCACTATAGACAGCTGTTGTTGATTGCTTTTGGCGAAAAAATCGATTCTTATCTCATTGAAAGGTGCGACAGTAATTCAAGTATCTGTTTTCTTTTTCAAAGAGAACAGGAATGAATTGGACTTCCTTGATTTATGGTAAGACTCATTGCTGTAGTATTTAACATCTACCTTAAAAAATATCATTTCAATATCCTAACATATTCGTCTCTTTTTACTGAGCTTTCTAAGTTATTATCGTAACTCATTGTAGCCTGTGTAGCCTTGCCTTTCCAAACACGTCCGTCGCAGAATTATCTGTGCGCGTTTTGCTTGATCTGCAAGCTTTGCTAGAGAATATCTGATCGAATCTCTTCAATTGCCAACAGCTTTAGGCCAAGTTGAGCACTGTAGATGCGTCTGAATTTTTACTTATAAAATCTTCCCTGAAACTTATGAAAACCAGTCTCATAGTCGTTTATCATTGGTTGAGATTAGCTGTTGGGGAATGAACTGTATGCTGCAAAAGACCCATAGCACATATTTAACCCTGGGTAGGTAGAATTTTAGTCGACGTCTAACCCATACATCCTGTGTGCACAGACCCATCCGCCAAAAGGATATCACAGAGCCTTCCCTACAATACACAGGAAGATTACTGGATTGCTCATTTTTTGAAATTTTCTGTTGACACAACGATGTGAGATTATTTCTATTTCCGCCAAAATGGCACACAACCACCGGCTCTTCGCCGTTGGCCTGGTCAGTTCAATCTGTGCCTTTTGGCTGAATACATGTTTCACTCCTCGTGGTCGTTCTAGCACTTTTTAAAGTGGATCATTCGTTGTTTTCTCGATCTTTTATCATTTGCTTGCATAGTCACACGCGAGTGTGACATGTGTTTCTGGACTTTGGAAGCTACGCTTTTTACACCTCTCTGTTGTAACCTTCGTAGAATGTCGTTGTCTGCAACCCTTCTAGATACAGTTTAAGGGACAGGGTAGCCATTCCGAATTATCGAAGCATTAGGATTTTTGCTATGTGTACTTTGATGAAGGTGTCAATTGACTTTACGTTGCTTGTTAAACCTCGAAATAATTTTTTTTTTGGTACTTACGCGCCTCTCTCAGCTGTTGTGCAAATATATTTTTGCAAAGAAAAATCGATTTCTCAAGTCATAATTTATAGAAATGAGCTTGAGCAATTCTATTTAGAATTGCTCAAGCTCATTTTTTTTTTTAAAAACCTAATATAACTGTCCACCGACGGTATCAAATCACATAGAACATATACTTTTCTGCCATCTTGAAGATCATCCCATCGGTACCTCTGTCCATAAGGTTTTTTTGCGTTCGGCCCATAAATGTAAATCTCTTCTAAGCCTTATTTTTTATTATCATTTCATGTAAGAATTACGCAAATATGCACATCACAATTTCTATTATTATTATAGTAACGGTAAGTACTGACAGACCATTCTATTTAGCACAATACGTTCTACAATGATTATGATCAGCTGATCACTGAACATAATTATTCCTATCAACATATACAAACATATACATATCGTTTCTAAAACGTATTACTGCAGTGTGTAACATCTGGTCAGAAAACCTAGAGATTCAGCACAACCTCATACAATTATATGTAGTTGAACTTGGCCCCTTTGAGGTAAAAAAAATTTATCAACATAAATGTGGTGAAAGCGATGGAAGAATCCAAAAACTGTCGAGATTTCCGATTTCGTGCATTCAATGCAGATTTTTGTACTTACTTACTTACTTACTTACTTACTTACTTGCAAAATGCATGAAAAACACATTCTGCAAGTAAGAAAGATAAAAATTAATTCTAGTACCGACAATCCTCTACGGCTGAACGGATTTGTTGAACGGGTTTGAAGAGAATTCAATATGGCTACTCTTGTGAAATCAATGGGTCGCCGTACAGTAAAGACAGCGATAAACAATCTAACCGCAGAACATGAACCGCTGGCTGAAGAAAATCGATAGACTACTGCAGTAGCTACATGATATTCGCATTTATCTTCAGCATTATGAAGTTCAACAACGAGAACGGATGGGTCCCCACGTCTACGATAATTAGAAACGTGCCTAGTCGCGACAATAAATACTGATATTCGTATTTACCTTGATAATATTCTATACGTTCATCCTATTCCTATTCAATTCCTCTAACAGCAAACAACATAACAAACTGAGTGGAATGAAGAACGATTACTACAGTGATGGTACAAACCTCGAAAGAAGTTGTGTCAAACGATAAAAAACAAAAAGCTGCCGCACTGCCCACCATAGCACGCCGTGTCTGCACTAGAAGAATACTCGAGTCAAACCAAAATTTCGCTTTCAGCTCCGTGGACCTACACCGACAAGATTCCTCATCTGATGTACACCCTATTGTAGTCAAAAAACTTTGTTTTTTCTTTTGAGAAATAATGTGTGCATCTTGTTTACGAACATGAAGCCTAAAATTTAGGTATTTCTCTTGATAGTGTGAAGCTCTAGCCAGCAGCTTCTCATTGCAATAGGATCCGCTGAATTCCTCGTACTTTTTGTTAATTTTGAGTTTAGGGGCAGAGAAATGTGTTTTTCTCCTAAATATTGTAGTTCGATATATAAAACTTTTCGAACGTGTAATCCTTAGCTTTTTTTCTAAGGAAGCATTCATTTCTTTCCACTTCTCGGCGATGATCTTCCATGGCACCGTTATACGATCACAGCAACGGTGGTCTTTAATAATAAACCCAATGCGTTTAGTAAGATTTCTAGAAAAATCGGCTCGGTACAGAGAGATCACAGTATCTCAGAAAAAAAAAAAAGAAAGAATCGAAACAAAACGGTATAGATCGATTGACCTAGCTATTTATTTGAATTAGATACGGGACGAAATCCTTAGGATCTGCCGAACTTCGAATTTGTCTTCTCTGCCATTTTTCTCGGCTTAACTGTTCTTTGCAAGTCAGGAACAGTACTGTATAAGAAATCCTAATACGATACTTGGTTTCTGTTACCCAAAAGCCTTATCCTTGTGTTAAGCGATTTGTCAGAGTGAGTATGGACGAGAACACACGAAACAACAAAACAACACTCCGATTTATCCTTGGGCATCTTACAGAAGAGTTAGATATCATGTTGGATAATTTTGAATGATTATTTGGAGACAACAGTTCGCAGGTACTTCACCATGATAATGCTCCGCTGCACAGGTCACTGTTTGCATCGCGCTTTTTAGAGAAAACTTCGATGTCCGTGTATACCAAATATAGCCTCGTGGACCTTTTTTCACGTTAAAAAAAATCCTAATAAAAACTCGTGGGGATTAAACAAGTTCCAAAAAAAAAACGACAACAGAGTTGAGGTTGATTCCAACGATTGAAGCCGAAAGATGCACACCCCTCTTTCTTCCAGGAGCTTTCGCTGTCTATCGTTACAACGCATTCAGTAATGTTGATCGAGAGCCTATTTGAGTGGTCAAGTTGCGTTGCATTTAGTATCTCGTGTGTCTCGAGCTATTAAATGTAGTGCATGCCTATGCAAAGGCCATATCTACTAATTTTTCTAACGGTAGACTACGTTAGTACCACAGAGCGACCTAACTCTATAACGTGGTAATTAACCCTAAATACTGACGCTAAATTAGGCTAGTTTTTATGGGTCAGTCTGTTTGTTGTACGATATTGAGTAAACCACGGTTCTTCACTAGACCTCAGGATACTGGAATCGACTCCTTTTAGCTTTGTCACAGTGGTAGCAAAACGACTGGTGGTCTGTCTTATTTTTTAAAATATGGCGTTGTGTCAACACGACAAGTCGTATTGAGTTAATTTAGAAAATCTGATTTGACTATTTTAAACTCTCAAGTGAGTCTTACTTCCTACACACTTTCTACAAAGGCCCTTGCTTCATTTTTAATGGTCAGGACAGTAAGGTTAGAAGGTATTGCATTGAAGACTAACAACGCTATCAGTCTTGTTGAGCCGTATTTTTTTAAATTAAGATGTGGTGCACACTAGTAAAAATAGGCAAAATACGTCTTCTACAAACTACGAAGCTCCTGTGGTAGTCTTCAAAGAGAATACGGCTAAATATGTCTAATATACCGCAAAGAAGGCATTTCATTTAATTTGGAACCCGAGATAGAAGAAAAAGATCGAACTGCAACTATTATTGTTAACGCTCTCAAAATTTTTTTTTGAGTTAAAGCGCCAGGTTTGTTGAGAGATCATGTTGCACGAGTATGTAAGGTTGCCTTTGAGTATTAGCCATAGTGTGGAGTCTTTTGCCTAAATGGTTTTTAAATTCAGCATTTTTTTAATGATAAGATTGCATTTCTATTATTCAACTAACTTAGCGGGCCGAAAAGCTTGACCTTTAAACCCTACAAGGCTCCAACAAGGTTTTGCTATATGTTAAATGTACTTCCTGTTATTGTTTGCGCATTGATGTCAGCACTTTTTCTACGCTGTCTAGTTATGATTTGCATTACCATACATAATCCCGTCATCGGTCTCTTAGTGACGGAAATCGACGATAAGATACGCTACATAAGCTGCCGACTCCTTAAGACATAGCAAAACACTGACATCATAAGGACTTAAATCTGGAGAATATCG